CATTGTAGCTGATAATTTTGTGTACTGTACTTACGTCAGACCATAGGCAGCATAGTTCTAGGTTTTCCAAGCCCAAAATTTTGAGCCTGGTAACATTAGGGATTCTATTGTGAGCAGAGGAGTGAAGGACTCTTCTTGTGAAATACCTCTGGATCCGCTCAATTTTAATGTCCAATATACAGTGTGGATTCCAGGCAGATGAGCTGTATTCGAGAATTGGTCTGGCAAAGGTTTTGTATGCCCTAGTTTGCAATACAATGTTATCGGAGAAGAAGCTTCACAAAATTAGGTAAACACCCCATTCCTAAGAGATCCGTAAAGGGGGCGTTCATAAGCGCCCTGTCCTACTGTCCCCATTTACTTGTACTCATTTCCTTTGTTCATGTTCATGTTTATACTTAAACCTGTTATCTTGTACATGTTTGACAAAATAAATAAATAAAATAAATAAATATCCTACTCTCCTGCCAAGATGCTACTGACCTTTAGTCAAAACATTGGTGTTTCTCCAAAACTTCCAAGTTTATCTATTCTAGTCAACTTTACAAGGGAGAACATTCTGACGAACATCAAATCACAGAACTAGATTTATTTATTTTTTGCTGCTTGCTACCTTGACAGAGACCAGCATGTATGTAGGCAGTAGATTGTCAGGTGATGCCAGCAATTGTATAAATTGCATGGATACACTAATTGCTATCTGTGTCTTTTCATGTCAGTGGAGTTATGATTCAAAACTTGATTCCATCACCAGGGAAAGTTAGTGTTTCATACATATACATATAACATATGTGGTTTGCCTTATGTTCTCTTCCATTGTGGCTTGCAAATGAATTTTATCTCAGGACGCCAACAACTGTGACTTAGTATTGTGTGTCAATGAGTTCTAGGTTATACTAATACTTATTCAGTTCTCTGGATTTTATTTTAGACTTCCTCTACTGCAGAGTGTTTTGATGGAGAAGAAACATATACACATTATCAACGGTGAATTGGGCCGTTTGATCCCAATTTTTATTTTAATATCATTTTATAGGTTTATTTCATTTATATGCCGCCCTATTCCCGGAGGGACTCAGGGCGGCTAACAAACCCAGGGGAGGGAGTAATTTTAAACAGAGGAAGTCTTAAATTCAGTCTCAGGACCAAATTGAGATACCACTTGAATTGTGTTGCTACCCTTCAGAAACACAAGGAATATTTCCCAATATTTCCAGCATCACAGACCAGTGTGTATTAATCATATCATCCAGCCCCAGATTTTCCCTCATTTCTAAGTCTTTAGAAGCAGAGATGACAATAAGACCAAGCAGAGATTCATAGTAAAAGTCATGTAGCCTCCAGCCCTCTCACTTAGCTCTCCGTGAAAAAAAGGGAAAGGGAGCAAAATTTCATTTTTTAGGATCTGAATAGTTTAAAGGTGTCTTATCTATTAACATTTTGCTGATGTCTGGCTCTTACGTAACCCTCATTTTTGGTTCTGGTTCAGTTCTTTCTCTGAACAGCTCAGCCGCTGATCCCCTCAAGAGCCTTTATAGTCTTTCAAAGACAAAAGATAGATTGCACCAAAAGGATAGTCTGCCTAGCTATCCCTTCTGCAGGATAGCTCCCAGGCCTTGACGGTGTGATAGAAACTGAAACAGGTCATCCAGACCTCACAAGAATGGGACCATATCTCTTTTTCTTCCCAAACCTATTAAAAATCCACTTTATCTCAAATGTCACACTTCAACCCCAGTAAAAATGCTGTATTTCATTCCCCCAGTGATTGTAATAGTGTGCAGGTGGCTCACGGCTTCATAAATAGTATAGAGTTAAGTAACCTGCTAACTTCCATATGGCCTATATGATTGCCAAATTATCCCCTTTAGCATATTTCAAAGGCATACAGCCTTTAAAAAGATTACATACTTCCATTATTCAACTTTTCGTCTCCTAAAGCTTTGCTGAATCAATCAAGATTCAGTAACAGAAGATTTTTTGAACAAATTACTTCTTAATTCAGCCCAGATGTATATTCCTGCAGGGATCTGGAAAAATATCAGGATCATTAGCCTAATAATTCCTGTAATAGTCCCTTTTCTCTGGGGAAGGTCTGAGCAGCATGATAATTTAGTGCATTACCCTTTAAACTTCACATCCTGCAGGGCTGTTGCCTTTCTGACATGTGAATGGCAAACCTGAATATTAGCAGAAGTTATGTATTTTAGAGGGCAGCGCTTGGAAGCACATAATGAAATATTGCTGCTGGAGTGAATGGAAATATAGCACAGTCCTTAATTTATCTGGGTTCTTTTCAGCAAACCTGAAAGGCAGCTTGGAAGAGCATCCTTTGATATGTTGGAGACCACAAATATATAAGGAAAGCAATTTCAAAGCACCGTCCAAAACCTTAAATTAGCTGAAACGGTGTCAACAACTCACTTTGATATTTCCAGTCAAGGATGGAAGAATCTAGCACGTTGATGGTGAACCTATGGCATGTGTGCCACAGGTGGCACACGGAGCCCTCTCTGCAGGCACACAACCCGTTGCCCCAGCTCAGCTCCACCACACATGTGCACACGCGCCTCTCACCGACCAGCTAATTTTTGGGTCTCTACTGCACATGTGTGTGTGTGTGGGTGCATGCGGGAGATGCGTGCATGTGTGTGTGGGGGGGTACTTTTTGGTCCCAGGAAGCTTCAGGGAGGCCTGCTTGCCCCAAAACGGTCTGTGTGGGGGTGGTTGCAAATGCATGCACAGGGAGCATGGGAAGGTTCGTGCACACATGTGCAGGGGGCAGGGCATATGGGTCACACACATGTTACATTATGGGTATGGGCATGCACGCGTATGTTGTATTAAGGCAGGATATAAAGTAAATTAAAATATAAAAGTAAGATATGGCACAAAAGATCTGCTTTTGAGATGTGTACAAAAATAGGAAATGTTAAAAGCTGCAGGTTCAGTTACAGTTCACACATATGGCTCAAGAAAGACAAGCTAGCCACAAGAACTTACTGGAAAAAGTTAAGCAAGAAATGTCGTAACAGAAACTACAAACACATCAGCACTAGTATGTTATATTCACGTATTTTGCTGCTTTTGAAAAATATATAAAGCCTGTCTTTTCTATAAGTTGTTGTTCAGATGTCAAATCGCTGTTTTGCCTTAACTTGCTCTGAACCTTGATACCAATAAAGCAACTTCTTTTTATTCCGATATCTGAGTCCCTTAATTTCCTGCAACAGTATCTCTCTTGCACACTTTTGGCATGTGACAACAAAAAGGTTAGTCATCACTGATCTAGCACATGCATAGAACCAAACCCAGGGCCTTTCGACAGGATGGTGGAGAACATTGTTTCCAGAAAGATACCTTGCACATCTCTCTTAAGTTTTCAAACCCCACAATGCAACACACAGAGTTTGTATTCCAAAGTATATAGTCCTAATTCTCAGAGTACAATACAACTTGTGTCCATTGGACCCAGGACCCACACAAGGCCTTTAATTTGCATGCCTGTAAGATCCCATTTTAGTCCAGCAAAAAGTTTTCTCATGAAGGCCAACAAAATCCACTCAGATACTCACAAAAGCAAGAAATGGAGACACATCCTATGCAACTATTGCTCCCTTACAACTGATAATTGCAGATAGTTTTTCCATAACTCAAGATGTAACCAGGAGTCTTCAAAACCTCTAGATTGATCTCCTTTTGAAATATTTAGTCCCATTAAATTAGTGTCCATTGCTATATTTTGATATAATGGATTCCAGACGTTCATAGCGCAATGTATACCACATGAAGTGGGAAATCATTTCATATTCTCTATATAAAAAAAGCAACAATCTACATTTTGCAAGCACAAATAAATAAGGCAACCACCAATTGGTTAATACGAAAAATGTTAAATATAGGCCCAGGCCCTGGTAAACCACAACATTTCACATTTGATAAACCATAAAAAGATAACTAGAGAACATTAATATTATATCCCCTTTGTATCAGCCCTATTGCATTTATGTGTATTTTGGTTTCGATTTTTCAAGTTGCTCAAAATCAATTTCATTAAAGAGAGAGAAAACCATCCAATGAGAATATAATTCCACAAGGTAATGATAACTAGATTGTTATCAAATATAAAGCATAACATTACATAATATAGTATTATTCAAACTAAACAAAGCAGAAACTAAAAAAAAATATGTATTTAGACCATTTTCTGCCAGCTGACCCTTTTCTATTGTATGAGCTTCCATAATTCTTTATTCCCATCACCTCAAGAGCAAAAGAGCAATTAACTGTTCCTCATAATTCCATGTGAAGATTAATTAGCTGATGATCCCTGTCAAAAATACATTATTGATTCATTTATAAATGATAAAATTCATTAAAATATTAATTCACTTAGAAATTACTTTTCCATAGGGGCAATTTATCAGATCCACTAAAATTTATATGAAATATCCATTTCAAATCATACATACTTCTTTGCCTACTACATCAAACTTGTGGCACTCAAATTTAACAAACACAACAGTGATGAATGTGAGGTAAGCTTTGCCCAAGAAGGCAAACACCAGGTTAGCATAAATAAATATAGCATAAATAAGGGAAATGTATGGAACCATTTTCCAAATAAGCTGATCACATCCCATAATCACTCCTGTCAGTGAAGAGTATCCAGTTGTCCACATCTATCAATCACATGAAATGGAAAACAGATACGATTGCAACTTTAAAGCTATTAGAATGGTGAGGAACGTCAAAAAGAGAGGAGAAAACTCCAAGTGTGATTAGCAACCTGCCTAGGAGATACCGTACACAACTCCTTGTACATAAGTACTTTTCAAAGCAATCAAGTCTATATTTTTATTTCATTTATTGTTGCACAGCAGATGATTTAGCATTTACCCCAACTAGAAAGCATGGCATCTCAAGGTTGAACTGCAGAAGTAGAGATGATCTAAGGATCACTTTCAGTTAAGAAAAGGTTCCAGAAAAAAAGTGCTAACCTCATTGATGAATGTCTGTGCTCCCCTTGGGCTCAGAAGTAAGATGGCTCTCCGTAACGTATCTCGGTAGCGGTTCAGCTCTTCGGTTTTCATGGAAGTGAAAAGGCTGGCAAAAACCCTGCTGATGTTTCTGTCTACTTTTTGTAAAGACACATCAAGTCCAAGCTTTAAAGCCTGATCCAGAAATCCTTGTAGGCCACGGATATCTGCCGAAGAGAAACAGAAATCACTCAGAAAAAGAACATAGCTCTAAGCAAAGAAGAAGCCACGACAAAGGTCAAAAACAGAGATGTCCCTTGGCTTGTCAAAGAGGCTTCTTTTAGCCTGCTGGATTTTACTCTGAATAAACCCAAATCTCATTGGAAATCCCTCATTTGAAGGTATTGTGACATTCCTGAAATAGAACACAAAACACAACTCACAGTAGGTATGTAGTAAGTGAATACTTTTTTCCTGGGTTTAAATTCTTTCCAGAATCTATCCATCATTCTTTCTGATGGTGAGACCAAAAATTCAAGGCCATTTGAGAAATTCTTAGGTATAAAGGTAAAGATTCCCCTCGCACAAAGTTGCTAGTCGTTCCCGACTCTAGGGGGTGGTGCTCATCTCTGTTTCAAAGCCAAAGAGCCAGTGCTGTCCAAAGATGTCTCTGTGGTCATGTGGCTGGCATGACTAAATGCCGAAGGCACACAGAACGCTGTTACCTTCCCACCAAAGGTGGTCCTTATTTTTCTACTTGCATTTTTACATGCTTTCGAACTGCTAGGTTGGCAGAAGCTGGGACAAGTAACGGGAGCTCACTCTGTTACGCAGCACTAGGAATTCAAACTGCCACACTGCTGACCTTTCTGATCGACAAGCTCAGCATCCTAGCTACTGAGCCACCACATCCCATTGAGAAATTCTTGGACTGTCCCAATTAGCTTCATGCCTGGGTGTATCATTGCTAAGCTTGCTAAGTTTTCACTAAATATCCTATTCGCTCACATAGAAGTATCTTCTACTCTAGGCCATCAGTCCCCTTTGACAAGTTAATTTTATTTCAGGGTCCTTGGTGCTCTCTGAGCTTGGTTCTTTTCTTGCAGACTTTTCAATAGCCAGACTAGGTAACATTATCAACTCAGGAAGTTGGGTAATCAAATGTCTGCAAGAAAACAACCAAGCTCAGAGCACATGAAGACCCCTTATTTCAACCCTGGCCTACAATATTCTCTTTTATTTTAATTTTATTTCAGTGGGCATTCCTGCAAACAGAAGTAGTGCTGAATCCATGTCCCTTATTTACAGCATATTTCATGCAGATAGCTACATTTCCATCTTGTACTATGGAACCGAGGTGGTATTCAGCCAGTTCTGACAGGTTCTGGAGAACCGGTAGCGGAAATTTCGAATAGTTTGGAGAACCGGCAAATAGGCTGGCCCCGCCCGTTGCCTCTCAGCTGATGTTCTTCTGTTGCCCTGAACAGGAGAACAGAGCTGGAAAGCAGATTAGTAGGGTGGGGAAGGAATGGGGATTTTGCAGTATCCTTCCCTGCCACACCCACAAAGCCATGCCCACCAAGACAAGACAAGCCCACCAAGCCATACCCACCAAGCCACACCCTCAGAACCGGTAGAAAAAAAAAGAATCCCACCACTGCTATGGAAATGTTCCCCTTCAGGACACTGGAGTTGCCAAACCACAACAATACCTCAATGCCGGACCTCAGATTAAAAACAGGTTCATTTTCAGCATCACTAGGATTAGTGTCGAAGCTTTTTGCTTTAAGTAAAGCAGACAAACCCTCAGGAGCTTCAGTCATTTTGACACATGGGAAGAGCTGAAGCATATCAGCTCTCATTGGCACACTGCCAGTCACAAACAGACTTGCCCTTCAGGAATCTGATGGAGAGTTCTGCTGTCCATGCCCTATAGGCATCTTCCCTTAAGGTAACTCTGGGCAGCTTACAATCAATTGTGAGTTCATGGCATCTTGCCATCTTTTCCTCTATGCTGACATTCCTGAGGACAACACAGGCTGATTTCAGTTGTGCTTATCAATTATCACTGTAGGATTTTGGCTTTGTTTTTAATCATTCTGAATGACAATGCCTAAACCCTGAAGTGCATTCATTTTATTTGATTTTTTTGCAACAGTTACACGTTGCCACACTCCTTTTAAAAAGGCAATCACTGCAACTAAAGAGGAGGTAATCGCAAACGAAGTAAAACCAGGGATTATATGCAGGTTCCTGAAGACCAAAGATAGTGCTTTTCAGCAAGAGAAAACAGGGATTTTCAAAGCTGCCACAGGTTGGTATTTGAAATTCCATGGGCTAAATCCAGCTTCACTCTGGGTTTCATTATGCTTGGGGCGACAAACTTCAAAAAGCCCAACTGGTTGGAACGAATATGCAGAGAATTACAGTATTATGGATTAAATAGCTGAGAACTCTGATTATCCTCGTAGCTGTTTTCTATACATGTTGAAATATTAATAAAAATAGCATTGGTGCATTTTACTAACTTGAGTACATGTTGTAGATCTTGTATTTTTTCCCCCTATATTCCAGTGCTTATTCTGAAAGTGAAAACCTGCTTGTGGAGAAAGATGAATGAAGAGGCTGACCTTTTAGAATAAATTCTGTTTTCCCCTAACCTGTTGGTGGGAAAACTACAATATTGGAAGCAAACAGACTACAATTTGAAATGGGGAGAGCATTAACTTTTGAACATCAATGTTTGTGCATTTAAAGGGAAATTATTTTGACTTTGCTTAAAAAAGAACAAGCATTTAAGTGAAAATTGAAGACCCACCAAATTTCAGAACAAGAAAATCACACATAACGGGGAAATATTTCCAAATACTAATGATAAATGTTAACATTTTTTAATCTACAAGCCTAAATTATGAATCTGGGATGATCAATGCCCAACATTTAAGTGCAAATTAGGTAACGGTAAAGGTTCCCCTCACACATATGTGCTAGTCATTCTCAACTCTAGGAGGTGGTGCTCATCTCCATTTCAAAGCCGAAGAGCCAGCGCTGTCCAAAGACGTCTCCGTTGGTCATTTGGCCGGCATGACTAAACACCGAAGGTGCACGGAACGTTGGTACCTTCCCACCAAAGGTGGTTCTATTTTTCTACTTGCATTTCTTACGTGCTTTAGAACTGCTAAGTTGGCAGAAGCTGGGAGAAGTAACGGGAGCTCACTCTGTTACATGGCGCTAGGGATTCAAACCGCCCAACTGCCGACCTTTCTGATTGACAAGCTCAGTGTCTTAGCCCCTGAGTCCCCCAAACCAAGTTTAGAATCTCTTGCACTCAAAGTCTGAAACAAAATGACACAGGATTCTGTAAAACTGTCTCAAGAAAGTCAGAAGTTCTTGCAAACCAAGCAAGACAAAACAGGGTACAAATCCTGAGCACAACTGTGAAACAGTCCAAATGCCAAGACAAACTAATAACAGGGTCTTCAAGGGGAAAGAATTTATGAAGATTGGGTTTAAGCAGCATGGCTTTGGTTTTTCTAGAGGTTTTTACAGCGGGTGCTTCCCTTGACCTTTATCTGTTACAGCTCAGTTATATTTTGAGTAATTCCTTGAAGGTTGACTTTTTATCTTTTTTTCTCCTTAAGCTGTATTTGCAGGGTTCTCCTCTGGATGTCTTCATACATACTAGGTCTACATTCTCAGGGACTTGGAAGAATTCCAGATCCTTCCTTCTTGAAAACAGCTGGAAGCAAGTCTGCCTGTTCTTCAGTTAGGTACTACCTGTGTTCAAGGTTCTCCTTCAATTTCAACCTTAGAGCCAGATCTGAACGTTTCTGCTATGTCTGCTTTTGGAATGAATTATTCCCAGTCAATTCCTCTTCCTCATGCAATTAATCTGATTCCTGAGTCAAATGTGAACTTAAGATATCTTTCAGAACTTCAAATGCAAGTACAAAATTGCCAAACTCTTTAGCAAAGGAATCAATGGAAGGAGATAAGATACATTATATGAAGTCCTGGGAAGCAAAATATTTCACTACTGTGGGGTCATATAAATGTAGAGTGGACAAATATTCCTACATGGGTTGCTATGGTTGGTTCCAAAAACGATGAAGATTTTGGAATCTGCATGCTAAAAAACAGAGGCATCACCCTGCCAACAAAAGTCCATATAGTCAAGGCTATGGTTCCAGTTACAATGTATGGCTGTGAAAGTTGGACCATAAGAAAGCCTGAGTGCCAAAGAATTGAAGCCTTTGAATGATGATGCTGGAAAAGACTCCTGTGAGTCCCTTGGATTGCAAGGTGATTCAACCGGTCAGTCCTAGAGGAGATCAACCATGACTGCTCTTTAGAAGGCCAGATCCTGAAGATAAAACTCAAATACTTTGGCCACCTAATGAGAAGGAAGGACTCACTGGAGAAGAGCCTAATGCTGTGAACGATTGAGGGCAAGAGAAGGGGACAACAGAGAATGAGGTTGCTGGATGGAGTCACCGAAGCAGTATGCGTTTAGCTTAAATGGACTCCAGAGGATGGTAGAGACAGGAAGGCTTGGTGGTACATTAAAGAGCCGAGGTGGCGCAGTGGTTAAATGCAGCACTGCAGGCTACTGCTAGATCAGCAGTTCAGTGGTTCAAATCTCACCGGCTCAGGGTTGACTCAGCCTTCCATCCTTCCGAGGTGGGTAAAATGAGGACCCAGATTGTTGGGGGCAATATGCTGACTCTCTGTAAACCGCTTAGAGAGGGCTGAAAGCCCTATGAAGCGGTATATAAGCCTACTGCTATTGCTATTGTCCATGGGGTTGCGATGGGTTGGATATGACTTCACAACTAACAACAATAACAAGGTAAACAATGAGTTTCAATCTTGTCCATTATCAATGAAGAGAACTTCTGGATTGATGAAGAAAATAGAATATCTTTGCCCTAATGTACAAGGCATTATATTGGTTATAAATGGAAATAATTCAGTAGATGGAAGACTTACAACTATTCTTTTCAACACATTTGCTAAAAAGAGCACTGTGGGAATAGTCCTCATTTTAGGAGTAGGCACCTCTTCCACTCAGATGAGTGAAGAAAATCTAATCCAACTTTTTTTATCATTTGAAATAAACTGACTTGCCCACCATGTAGGTGTAACAAATGGTTGACTACCTTTTCTTTTTCAGAAGAGTGTCAACAGTCATAAAAATTAACCATCTAGCCTTTGTTTGACTTGTACC